TCCAGATTTACGAAACAGTTATACATTACGCCATGAGTATTATTTACTCCAAGATGCAAATTTTAGGTGGAAAGATACAAACAAGAATTGTTGTAAGTACATTGTATCAAAAAATTATACACCAAGAAAAAGCCTCATTATCACCCCTAAGGATCTCGAATAAGGCACTTTGACAAATCCAAAATCCACTCACAGTACAAAAACATTTGAAACAAAATTTTGCATAGAATGAAATGTCTTTACATAAAAATGGCATCCCATTGAGGTTTCAACTGAAAGATGAGATGGGGACGGATCATCTTCCAAGTTCATATGATTGCCCAGGTTAAGAAGACTTCACTGGTGAATTACTCCAATGCTTTACAATAGCGATACCAATTTTTCACAAAAAATTCTAAAAAAAAAAAAAAAAAACCATAGAGAAGAAATCAGTAAGCAATGCATTTTATGAGACAGTTTTCTCTGATACCACAACTAGACAAAGTCCAAAAAAGGAAAAATATAAATCAATACACTTTTTGGATACCCAGGCAATAATCCTCAAGGAAATAATTTCAACACAAATCAGGATTACGAAACAGGTTATACATTACGCAATGAGTATTTACTTACTCAAGATTGCAAATTTAGTAAAAGATACAAAAAGAATTATTGTAATACATTGTATCAATATAACACAAGACAAAAGCCTCATTATCACCCCTAAGGATGCTGAATAAGCACTTGACAAATCCAAAATCCACTCACAGTAAAAACATTGAACAAATTTTGCATAGAATGAAATGTTCTTTACATAAAAATGGCATCCATGAAAAAAAAACTCATATAACACACGGTATCAAGAAAGTCTCAGTAATTTCCCCAAAATTATAAACACAAAAAGGTTATCTACTCCCACTAACTAAACATTATGCTTGAGGATTTAATTGATAAAACTAGCCTAGACAAATAAATTTAAGACTTCCAGATTGAGAAGGAAAAAATCAAAGTATCTCTATTTGCCAGTAACATAATCTAATGTATACAAAATCCTAACGAATCCACTAAAATAAGATAGGAACCATTAAAAAAAAGTTCAGTAATCCTGTAGAATACAAGATTCATGTAAAAAAATTGCACTCTTATACAATTGATATGGTTTGACCAATCAATTAGGTGTCCCCACCTAAATCTCACCTGGAACTGGAATCCCCTCGTATTGGGGGAGGAGCTTAGTGGGAGGTGACTGGATCATGTGGATTGTTTCCCCCATGCTGTTCTCAGGATAGTGAGTGAGTTCTCAAAGAAGCTGATGATGTTCAAAGTGTTTGGCAGTTTCCTCTTCACTCTCTCGTTACCTTGTGAAGAAGGTGTCTGCTTCCCCTTCCCCTTCCGCCATGACTGTAAGTTTCCTAAGACCTCCCTAGCCATGTGGAACTGTGAGTCAATCAAATCTTTTTTGTTTATAAATTACCCAGTCTCGGCCGGGAGCGGTGGCTCACGTCTGTAATCCCAGCACTCTGGGAGGCCGAGGTGGGTGGATCACAAGGTCAAGAGATCGAGACCATCCTGGCTAACACGGTGAAACCCCGTCTCTGCTAAAAATACAAAAAATTAGCCAGGTGCAGTGACGGGCACCTGTGGTCCCAGCTACTCGGGAGGCTGAGGCAGGAGAATGGCGTGAACCCGGGAGGCGGAGCTTGCAGTGAGCCAAGATTGCGCCACCGCACTCCAGCCTGGCAGACAGTGAGACTCCGTCTCAAAAATAAATAAATAAATAAATAAATAAATAAATATTTAAATAAATAACCCAGTCTCATAATAGCATCTTTACAGCAGTGGGGAAACAAACTAATACAAAAATACAAACTAATCAAATAAAGAAACAAACAAAAAAAATCATTTAACATGCCAGCAAAAAGAAAATATATTTGGCAACAAATTTAACATAAGTGTGAGGCGGGCAGATCATGAGATCAGGAGTTCAACACCAGCCTGGCCAAAATAGTGAAACCCCATTTCTACTAAAAAATACAAAAAATTAGCCAGGCGTGGTGGTTGGCACCTGTAATCCCAGCTACTCAGGAGGCTGAGGCAGGAGAATCTGGGAGGTGGAAGTTGCAGTGAGCTGAGATCACACCATTGCACTCTAGCCTGGGCAACAGTGCAAGACTCTTGTCTCAAAAAAAAAGGCCGGGCGGCGGCTCAAGCCTGTAATCCCAGCACTTTGGGAGGCCGAGACGGGCAGAGCATGAGGTCAGGAGATCAAGACCATCCTGGCTAACACGGTGAAACCCCGTCTCTACTAAAAAATATAAAAAACTAGCCGGGTGAGGTGGCGGGTGCTTGTAGTCCCAGCTAATGTAGTCCCAGCTACTCGGGAGGCTGAGGCAGGAGAATGGCGTAAACCCAGGAGGCAGAGCTTGCAGTGAGCTGAGATCTGGACACTGCACTCCAGCCTGGGCAACAGAGCGAGACCCCGTCTCAAAAAAAACAAAAAACAAAAAACTACAAGACATTTTATATATACATATATATACACACACACACACACACACACACACACACACTGAAAATTACAAATGATATTGAAGTATTAAAGAAATCCTGAATAAATGAAAAAAAAAAACTAGATTTTCACTGATGAGAACGCTATTAGGTACTTACCAAGATGCTTATACTTTCCAAATCTATCTGCAGATTCAATACAATCCCTAACAAAAATTCTAGCTTTCATGTTTTTCATTTTTTTGTGATAACTGGACTGAAGATTCTAAAATATACAGGAAAATGCATTTCATCCAGAACACCCAAAAGAATGTATAAAAACGTTTAAAGAAATACCAATGTTATTTATGGAACTTCTGCTCATAAGGAGACGGAGCCTAATTCCCTACTTCCTACATATGAGCTGTTCATAGTGACTTTTTTCCAAAAATACATCATGAAAATGGGAACAAATACTAATTTTGTAGTGGAAAAACCTGAGCTAAACTGCCTCATGCAGGTGATTAAATAATATTAACCATGATAATGCAGCTGGGCATGGTGGCCCAAACTTATAATTCCAGCACTTTGAGAGGCCAAAGTGAGAGGATTACTAGAGGCCAGGACCTCAACAAAAGGCTGGGCAACATAGGGAGACTACGCCTATACAAAAGTAAAAATAAAAATAAATTAGCCTGGCACAGTGGCACATGCCTGTAGCCCCAGACACTCAACAGGATGAGGTGGAAGAATCACCTGAGCCCAGGAGCTCAAGGCTGCATTGAACTAGGATCATGCCACTGCACCCCAGCTGGGGCGACCGACAGAATGAGACCCTGTCTCACAAAAAAATAAAGCAAGGGGGCGGGTGTGGTGGCTCACACCTGTAATCCCAGCACTTTGGGAGGCCGAGGCGGATGGATCACACGATCAGGAGATTGGGACCATCCTGATTAACACGGTGAACCTCCATCTCTACTAAAAATACAGAAAATTAGCCAGGCGTGGTGGTGGGCACCTGTAGTCCCAGCTGCTCGGGAGGCTGAAGCAGGAGAATGGGATGAACCAGGAAGGTGGAGCTTGCAGTGAGCTGAGCTGAGATCACGCTGCCGCACTCCAGCCTGGGCAACAGAGCGACACTGTCTTTAAAAAAAAAAAAAAAGCATGTTGCTAGTATATACTGAGTCATCACTCAGCCTGTGCCCATCTCTAAGATCACGGCATGGAGGGTTGGGGGTATATCCTATACTGCTTGTTCTTTTGTTTTTGTTCCTACTGAGCTTCCTTGACTTACATACAATGCATGTGTATCACTCGCTAACATTCACCTGAGAAAACCTTGATGTGTAAAAATTTATATCTAGGTTTCTGTAAGCAGGGACTGGCCTAAATCACCTCATCAGAAATATTTTTTGTACTCTGCTTACCTGCTAGCGTGGAAGCTTTAGGAATGCCAACTGGCATTATAATTCCCGGATGTGAGTGTCCACAGAACGCATGATCCCAAACAATTCCTGACGGGAGTCTGTAGAGTTAAAAAGAAAAAAACAAAATATTAGTACAGGTTTTCTGAAACGTTTAAAGGTATAGTTGTCTTTTGGTTACTTGTAGAAGAAATCCCTGTACCAAGAAAACACTATCCTGAATGCAGAAATATGATTTATGTTCCCTGTCACTGAAATTTCTTATTCTTGGCTTCTAGTATCTGAAAGTCGTATCTCCCAAAAAGGCTTCAGTGGGAGACTGCATATACACTGCTAGATGACGCCCACAGATGGGGCTTTCTGGGATATGTGAAGGAAAGGCAACTTTCTTTGAAAAAGGGGTTGCTGACATTCACACTGGTGACTGCGTCACGGGGACAGACAAAGAGGATGACAGTCCCTGGAGCTTGATGGTGCCTTCCTGAAGCAGGTGCACCTGGGTTGAGAAAGGTGACTAGATACGAAAAGCTAGTTTGCTATTCTCTCCCTACAAGCTATTTTGTCTCTGGAGGCCAAATTTTTGGCTTATGTCTTTGTTTTCTTTACATAAAACAAATTAATAATTTTAAAAAACATTTACTTTGAAGTAACTGCACATTAACAAAAAACACACTGGTAGTACAGAGAGGTTTATATAACCTTCAGCTAACTACAATGTTATTATCTACTATAACCATAATATAGTTTTAATGAAAACTAAGAATTTACCTGTTTTTCAAAACTATTAGCTGATCTACGAACTTTCTTCCTCTTTTACCATGATTTCTAATAATGATACACGTATCTATTCCAGGACTAATCCAGAATGCCACCTTAAAATTACTGTCAGTTATATTACTTATTACTTTGTGTGTAACAAATTACTACATACCTAAGTGGCTGAAAAACCACACACATATTACTCACAGTTTCTCTGGGTCTTCAGTCCAGATGTAGATGATGGCCCAGGCTGAGGCTCAGTTGGGGAAAGGTCTCCTTCCAAGCTCACGTGATTCTTCTTAGGATTCACTTCCTTGCCCCAGTCAAGATAATTCATTAGTGAGTTATTGGAATCACTTAAACAATTAATATTAATTTATAATAAATTCTTAAAAACAACAACAACAAAGTGGAGAAGGCATCGCATTTCATTTATACTATGAGTTAGTTTACCCTGATACCACAACTAGACAAACAGATTGCAAAAAATGAAAATTAAGAATAACACACCTTATGAATATAGACCCAAAAATCATCAAAGAAATCCTAGCGAAACAAATCAACAACATGTAAAAAGTATTATAAAATATGTCAAGGGTATTTACCTCAGGAAAGCAACATTTGGTACCATGTTCAAGGACAATTAATGCCATGCACTATATTAATATAATAAAAAACAAAACCATATAAGCAACTCAAAACATGCAGAAACACCTGAGAATTCCTGAACTCACTATGATAAAAACATGCAGCAAATAAGGCAGATAAGGGAAGTCAAACTCTGTTTGCAAATGACATAATCTTATGTATAAAAAAATCCAAAGGACTCTAATAAAATATATTTAAAACTTAAACATGAGTAACAAACTTGCAGTATATAGGGTCAACATATAAAATCATTTGAATTTCTATACACTAGCGATTAACAATCTAAAAACAAAACTCAGAAAACCGTTCCACTTAAGATGGCATTGAAAATAGGCATGTTTATCAAATTAAATGTAAGATATGTACACAAAAACTACAGAAAACATATTGAACAAAATTAAATAGAAAATATTTTAATGTTTATTGCTTAGAAGGGTTAGTACTGTTATGATGGCAATATTTTCCAAATAGATCTATAGATTTAATGCAACCTCTACCAAAATCCCAGGTGATATTTCCTTCCTCAAAATTAACAAGGTTATTCTAAAGTTCATATGCAATGCAATAGATCCAGAGCAGCCTAAATAATCTTGAGTAAGAGGAAAAAGGTTGGCATTGTAGACATCTACTTGCTGATTTCAAAACTTACTATTAATACAGGCCGGCACAGTGACCCACGTCTGTAATCTGAGCACTTTTGGAGGCTGAGGTGGGCAGAGCACTTGAGGTCAGGAGTTTGAGACCAGCCTGGCTAACATGGTGAAACCCTGTCTGTACCAAAAATCGAAAAATTGGTCATGGTGGCTCATACCTGTAATTCCATCTACTTGGGAGGCTGACGCACGAGAAATGCTTGCACAAGAATTGCTTGAACACAGGAGGTGGAGGTTGCAGTGAGCCAAGATTGCACCACTGCCCTCCAGTCTGGGAGACAGAGCAAGACACTGTCTCAAAAAGAAAGATAGAAAAATTTACTATTAATACTAAAGAATACAAATCAAGATTTATGGTACTAGTATAAGGATTTACATATTGATCAACAGAATAGAATATAATGCTCAAAAATAAATCCTTACATTAATGATGAAATAACAAATGGCCAAATAAATTAGGTATAGAATTTTTTTTATCAAATCTTTCTGGAAAACGTAGACATCCATAGGCAAGTCGGACTCCTGCCTCACATCACAAACATAATTGACTCAAAACAATCATACATCTAAATATAATAGCTAAATAGGCCCAAACCATACACAAAACACAGAAAAACATCTTTGCAATCTTAGGTTAAACAATGTTTTCTAAGATAGGACACTGAAAACACAGGAAAAGAAGAAATAATACATGTACTGAACTTCATTACAATTAAAACATTTTGGGATTCTAAGAACACCATCAAAATCAGAAACCCAAGGAATGAGAGAAAATATATGTAAATTTTACAGGTAATAATAGTTTTTTATTCAGAATATATGACAATATCTTACAAGTTGAAAATAAAAAGGCAAATATCCCAGTCAAAAATGGAAAATTATTCACTTAGCCATTTCTCCAAAAAATCTACAGTCATATGCAAAAATCACATGAAAAGACACTCAATGCCTTTTGCCATTCTGAGGTGGGAGAATGGTATCACTTGTTTTCTGTTAGCAATCCTACTGACCAAAACAAGATCTGTTCCTGTTGGGGTCCGCGTGTTTCCTAAACAAAGGAATGAACACACAAGACAACACAAGACAAGACAAACATGGCGGCCGCCTCGAATGGCGCGCTCTGCTTTATTTTATACAGTCGTTTGTGGAATGTCGCCAAGTCACAAGACACATTATTGTTTTTCTGACCTTTCCCTGACTTTCTGGATTTTCAAGATGTTTACACATAAACAAGCCCCCAGGGTCTGCTGTTAGCAGCTGGCTCCTTTGTCCTCCCTGTTTGCAGGGAAGGAACGCCCTGCTTCGTTTGCAAGAGCAGGACTTATCAGGAACGTCTCTCTTGTTTGCGAGCACATAGTCCTCTACATGTTCCACACAGGATAAAGTAAAGAAACCAACAGGAACCCGCAGATAGACAAAAGCTATCCTGGCCATCCTCATTAGCGTAAGACACTCCATCAGCACCACGACTGTTTACAAATTCCACAGCAACAATCTGAAAGTTACCAGCCATTTCAATGGCAATGACCCATAAGTTACTGCTCATTTCCTAGAAAGTTCTAAATAACCTACCTCTCAATTTGTATTGACCCAACCCTCGATTTTCATGTAACTGAAAGCAGATTTATGTTACTGTAAATACAGTTGTCAAGAGCCCATAGATTGCCAACTTTGGATAGACTGCTTCAGAGTTAGCCCTGCTCTGCAAGGAGACGTACTATAAAATAAAAGATTGCTAACACCACTGGTTCGCTCTTTTAAATTCTTTACTTGGCAAAGCCGATAACCCTCCAAGCAAAGCCCCAATTTTGGGTCTCACCTATCCTGTAAAAATTAGGTTAAGTCAAATCCAAATAGCCACGGGATTATATTTCAAATTCTAAAAAAAATATGGCTAAGTGAAAAAATGTAAGTTGGAAAAGGCAAAATACTGTGTAATTTCATTTATATGACTTTATAGAAAAGGCAAAAGTATAGGCAATAATAAAGAGTTTGGTGGTAACAAGGGGCTTAGAAGAGAAAAAGGTAGAATCAGTTAACTACCAAGATTTCTTTTGGGCAGTGAAATTACTCTGATACTGTAATGGTGGATATCTAATCATGTTTTCCAAATCCTGAAGAACTTTGTAACACAGAGTGTACCTAAGTTAAGCAAATTAAAAACCTTATTTAGGAGGTAGAGGCTTTCTAGGGAGGAATGCCCACAATGTAACTATGTAATGAATGTATGGAATAACCTCACTAAAGAAAATGGAGGAAAGCAGCCGACCTAAGTAATTTAGGAAATAAGTGGTCATTGAGGCCAAAAGTCAAAGGATGTACACCTTAGCAGTATACTTTAATTGGTAAAGTTGTTTCCCATGGGGGTATAATTCTGAAGCCACTGTATACATATGCTCAGATGGTGTGATTAAGTGAACAGCACCAACTTGCTCACAGGGACAGTGGCAGACTACATACAAATGAGAATGATCCATTCATATGGTGCTGGATTAGATCACATGGTATTGGAAACCTTCGTAGAAAATACACAATTAGCCTAGAGCACATTAAATACAGGTAGCCTAAAGCACCTAGTAGTGACTGAACAAAGAAAATGCTAACCAACAACAAAACCAACCAACCAACCACACAACGTCTAACCATAATCATGGGGGTATTTCAAAATGACACCAGAGACAACTAAAAAAACCTTCCAATCGCCAACACTGGAACAATTTGAGCAATAAAATAAATAAATTAGCATATACAAAGTGTAAAATAAATATCAATGTTTTGACATAAATAATTTATGTATAAATAAATATGAAATTAAAACATAATAGAAACCTGTTTATGGTGAAAGTTCAAATAAATTTGTACACACTCTGCCAATAAGGAAGTAGACCATGAATCCTCCACTTAAGTTCATATTCTGTATAGTGACTTTGTTCTGAAACATATTACATGGAAAAGAAAAAAAAGGCTAATTTCGTGGTGTGAAAATTTGATAAAAATGACTTAATCTACGTGATCACATTACTATCAACAGTGATAAGGCCTGCTGATAGTCTACGTCCTTGGTATGATGTGAGGAGAATGGGCACCTCTCCTCTGTGACCTTCCTTTCCTAAAGCCACAAATCCAGTCTTACCCTAAAAGAAATATCAGAGAAATCCTAAATTAGGAATGTCAATGTCATCAAAGACAGAAAAATTCTGAGAAACGGTCACAGACAGAGAAGTTGAAGGACATGTGAAATCTGTGATGAGGCATCCTAGATGAGATCCTAGAACAGAGACTGGACATTAAGTGAAAACTAAGAAAATCTGAATAAAGCATGAAAAGTAGTTAATGACAGTGTATTGTGATACATGTCCTACATTAATGTAAAGTTAATAAAAAGGGAAACTTTGTGAGATATATGGAAAGTCTATTTACCACATTTACAACTATTCTGTAAACCTAAAACAATTCTTATATTTATGAGGTATCTTGTTCTTTAAAGTTACTGCTGACATTATAAAACAGAACAATATTTTTGATGGCCCTTAGTGCATCTCCTTAGCTTCATCATCTTCCTTAATCACTGAAGGAAGCTATTACTGTGAATTATTTCTTATCCTCTAATTTGTGTATATTATTTACCTTTATGTTTATATTTCTATTATCTGTAATGTTTAGTTTTTCTTATCTTTGAACTTAGAAGAATGTGTTTCATGGATTCATGTCCCTGGCTTAATCATGAGAAATTATGAGACAAATCCATATTGCGTGACATCCTACAAAATATCTAACACTTTTTAAAAGGATCAAGATCAAGAAAAATAAGACCATGAAACTTGCAGAATGGAGAAGACCTGATGTGTCAGATAGAGCCTAAGATGGTGCCCAATGACTCCCCATGTAAAAAATATCTGTGCTTGGTTGAATAGACTCCTCTGTGTCTCACTTGACCAACACACAAGAACTCAACTTTTTTTCCAATTCAGCGCTCTCCAAGGCAGTGGCTGCCTTGGTGGGAATGTAGGGGACACAGGTCTGACAAATGCCACAAGGGTGCCTGACAGTGTAAACAAACATTCTGTGAGAAGGTTGCCTGGGTCAAGGATTGTGCACTTAGGCATTGGGTCATCTGCCAAAATAAGTAACAATCCCATGGAAGGCACACTGTAAATATCCAGGACTCGAGTCCTGTTGGGCATGGCTGTAATTTATAGCCACTGTCCCAAGAAAGACCTCAAGAGAATATGAGACATAACAAAAATACAGCAGATATGGAGAGGTAACTTTATCAATTATGGCTCAAAGATCCCATGGAGGCCAGGTGCAGTGGCTCAGGCCTGTAATCTCAGCACTTCGGGAGGGAGGCTGGTGGATCATGAGGTCAGGTGTTCAAGACCAGCCAGGCCAAATGGTGAAACCCAGTCTCTATACTAAAAATACAAAAAATTAGCCTGGCATGGTGGCAGACACTTGTAGTCCCAGCTACTCGGGAGGCTGAGGCAGGAGAATGGCATGAACCTGGGAGGTGGAGCTTGCAGTGAGCCGAGATCGTACCACTGCACTCCATCCAGTCTGGGTGACAGAGCGAGACTCCATCTCAAAAAAAAAAAAAAAAAAAAAACGATAAACAAACAAATAATTTTAAAACATCCCAAGGAGAAGGAAGACAGAAATAGTACTAAGTGTTACATAAAAGTATGAATCAGTACAGGTACTTTGTGAGTTTTCTTTCTTTTCACTTTGATAATCTTTGCATTTAATTGATACACTGTCTATTCACATGAATGTTGTAACCGATATTTAGATTTAAACCTCCTAATGTATTTGATTTCTATTTGTCCTATTTGTTCTATATTTTCTCTCCCTTTTTGCCTCATTATTCCACTATTGCCCTGTATTAGCTTTGTAGTTACATGATTTATTTTGCTTTTTGCTGTTCTTTTAGTGGTTACCCTATAGATGACACAGCAGTCTAATATTACTTATAATCTTCTTTCTGATAATTGTAAGGACCTTAGAATTCCTGCACCAAATATATATATTGTCACGTTTTAACATTATTTATTTAAAAAAAAAAGTTTGCATCAGACTGCAGCTCTCTGAAGACACAAGAATCTGTATTTTGAGACTTTCCCTTAATCTTAAAAATATAAGCAGAGATTATTCTAAGCTGCTTTCCAAATCCAATTCTTCATCCAGTTCAACTACTTATCTTTTTCTTCCTCCCCTTTCATCCTTCGTATCTCATGATCTCATGAACGATGGTCATGTGAATCTCACTGTAAGCAGGGACTGCAGACGCATGTGAACTGCGATTTTCATGAAATGCTTTGCTCTGACCACTTGTCACTTCTGTTAACTCCACATCTATGAAAAAGTCACATAACAACAAACAAAGACATATAAGCCAATAGAATAGAGTACTCCAAAATCAATCTTCAGGGCAAACTTATTTACAAGGTTGAAAAATTAATTCAAGACGGAAAAATATTTTCTCAACAAATGTTACTGGGAGAAGGTGATACTCACATGCAAGTTAAACTCTTTCCTGCACCACATATGTATCTAACTCAAAATAGAGCGTGTGCCTAAATGTAGGAGCTAAAACTAAACATCCCATAGACGAGAACATAGAAATACATTTTCATGGCCTTAGGTGAAACAATGGATTCTAACATGTGACACGAAAATACAAGTGAGAGAAAAAAAAAATAGATGCATTGAACTCCATGTGGATTAACATGTTTTGTGATGCAAAATACACTGCCAAGACAGCCCAAATAATGGAAGAACATATTTCCAAGTCATATAGTTGTTAGGAGACTATTGTCCAGAACACATGAAACATTCTTTCTTTTTTGAGACCGAGTCTCACTCCGTCACCAGGCTGGAGTGCAGTGGCACGATCTCAGCTCACTGCAACCTCCACTTCCTGGGTTCAAGCAACTCTCCTGCCTCAGCCTCCTGAGTACTTGGGATTACAGGCGCGTGCCACCATGACCAGCTAATTTTTGTGTTTTTTAAGTAGAGACAGGGTTTCACCATGTTGGTCAGGCTGGTCTCAATCTCGTGACCTCATGATCCGCCTGCCTTGGCGTCCCAAAGTGCTGGGATTGCAGGCATGAGCTGCCACGCCTAACCACATGAAACATTCTTAAATGCAACATTAGAAAGACTCATAGCCTAAACAAAAGTAAGTAAATTATGTGAATAGACATTTTTCCAAAAAGCAGTAGAAATGTCCAATAAACTTATGAAAAGATGCTTAACATCTTTATTCCTCAGGGAAATACAAAACTATCATAGGACACACTTCACAAATCTTATAAGGCATATTCATAAGTGTTTGAAGAAATATTTAAAACTCTATGTAATATGCAATTTCACTATGTGACACTGTGGAAAAGGTAAAATTATAAAGAATATAAAAATATGAGCTATTACTAAGGTCCTAGAAGAGAGAAAGCTTGATTAGGAGAAATGCAGAAGATTATTGTACATTAAAATTATTATCTGGGCCAGGCATGGTGGCTCACCCCTGTAACCCCAGCACTTTGGGAGGTGAGGTGGGTGGATCACTTGAGCTCAAGAGTTTGAGACCAGCCTTGGCAACATGGTAAAACTCCATCTCTATCAAAAATACAAAAATCACCCTGGCATGGTCACATGTGCCTGTGGTCCCAGCTCCTCGGGAGGCTGAAATGGGAGGATCAGTTCAAAGCCCAGGAGGCAGAGGCTGCAGACAGCCAAGGCCATGCCACTGCAACCCAGCCTGAGTGACAGAGTAAGACCACATCTCAGTGTGTGTGTGTGTGTGTGTGTGTGTGTGTGTGTACACTATGATGCTGTGATGGTATTGATACTTTTTTTTTTAATCCTACAGAATTTCACATCACAAAGAGTAAACCCAAATAATGTATATAAATTGCTTTAAGAAAACATTATTAAGTTGGGGGATCCCAGACAGAAATTCAAACAAAATAACGTTAACTATATAACCGAAGTATAGAATAGCCTGAGTGGAGAGTGTAAGAAAAAAAGGTTTACTGACCTAAGTAAGTTAAATAAGATTCTATGTCCAAAAACTAAAATATTTAAACATAAACTGCACTTTATTTGATAAAGTTATTGCCCCTAGGAGTATGGATTACCAATTCTGAAACTACAATACGTGTATTTTGGGACTCAATGGTTACATAAACATGACTTTTTCTCAGAGTGAGAGGTAACATAAATGTAGTGGAATAGGGTACACTAATTCTCATGTAGTGGAATAGGGTACACTATATCATGTGGTACTGAGATATAGGTAGAAATTCATGTCTAACTTCACACAGACATATATGGACAACTGTAGAACTATCTATACATACGTATTTGTAAATTGGTATAAACATAAATCCCTTTACCGTCGTTAGCTGAGATAACCTAGAATCAACAGATCCCCAATACATATGAGTAAAATCACTGCTGCCCAGACCTTTGTTTCTAATACAATTACCAAAAAGTAACAGATTCCTTGACAAACGTGTTTAATACTATGCTTGAGAAGAAAATCAACAGTTAACCTGGAGCAACTTGTAGTGCCACCAAGTAAGAAAAAGTGAAACAACAATACAACCAAATATACGAACAAAATTAAAGTGCAGTAATGCTGGAATACCAAAACAGTAACGGAGTATATGGAGACCTTCCAATGGCCAACACCAGGACAGTTTTGAATAGTACAATATATTAGTATAATAAAATGTAAACTAATATTATGACTTCATATGACCATTCATATGATATAAACAAATGATTGAACAAATATATAATAAATTAAGAAGAACAGATAAATTATCCTTGGTGAAGAAATACAAATGATTTTGACGAAGATCTGCTTATGAGGAAGCGGAGCATGTTTTTCTACTTCTTTAGTATGTGCTGTGCATAGCAACTTCTTTTTAAAAAGTGCAGCACTGGAAGAAGAAATATATGTTTTATCCAGATGATCAAGTTAACGTCAAAAGCAATAAAGCATACTGTCAGGATACACACTTGGTATGATGTAATAGAATGGCACTTGCCCGCTGTGGTCTTCCTCTCCAAAACCCACCAGTCCAGTCTAACCATGAGAACACCACCAGAAAAATTCCCCATGAGGGATGTTAATCTCATCAAAAACAAGGAAAGTCTGAGAAACTGGCCCAGGTAAAACCAGCCTAATTAGACATGATAAAGTAAACGTTATACAGATCCTAGGAGGAATCCTGGAATAATACATGGACATTAAGCAAAAACTAAGGATATACAAATAATGTGTATTAATGAATGATATTGTGTAACATTCCTTTGTTAACTATGACAAATATTCCACACTAATATAAGAGGTTATTAATAAAGAAAATTGTACTGGATATCAAGAAACACTCTGTACTGATTTCCAACTGTTCTGTAAATCCAAAAGTATTCTAAAATAGAACAGTTCCTCTCTTTTTTCCCCAGTTAACTCCTGAGCTTAATAAAAGAGAATACTATCAAACTGTTAATGTCCCTGAGTGCATTTCTCAAATTGTGTTCTCTTCTTTAAACTGGGAAGGTTACCATTATTTTAATTTGTCTCTTTGTCATTTCTTTATTTTTCTTTATTATTTTTCTATGTAAGTTGGCTTTGCTAAGTAACATACTGTTCAGTTTTTTCATTTTTCCAACTTACGTAAGTGTAGTATCTAAATTAATCCATAACTCTAGTCAAATTATGAGAAACTACTTGGACAAATCCATATCATTGTACATTGTACAAAATACCTGACTGGTTCTTTTTTTTCCCCCACAAGGACCAGGGTCAGCAAAATAAGTGAAGACTGAGAAATTACTTCAGATTGGGCCAGACTTGATGTGGTAGATAGGCCCTGGTATCTACCACAGGGCCCAGTAATTAGATGGTACCCAGTAATTCCACCTCTAGGGATACACAATCTTATATTCTACTTTTCTCCTTATAAGTGTAAACAGGAATTGTGACTTGCTTGCAAACAATTCAATAATGCAATTTTGGTACTTACAATTATGATTTCTGTCTTGCGTACAAGCTCTCGCCCTTGATGACCAATATGAAGTAATCTCCCTGTGAGAGAAGCCAACATGGGAAGGAACTGAATGCAGCCTCTGGTCAATAGCCAGCAAGGAACTGAGGCTCCTGATCAAACAGCCTGCCCTAAAGTTTGCAACTTACCTTCATGACTATTCCAAGCCCCTTTTCAAATAACAGTATATCACTTAAAGGGTAGTGTAAACACCTTATAATAACAGAATAGACATAATTATTGTATCCCATCCTTTGTATCATTCTTGTTATTAATATCAATTGAATAAAGCACACTTGTATATTTATGTACAGGTATGTAAGTGTGACATATACATAGGAATACCTAATCATATGATGTTGCTATTATTGTATTTAACAATTTGTTAACTGTTAGCAATTAAGCATATGAAAAATAAAAGCTTTTTTCCCTAAACACTAAAAAACAAATTTAAAAGTATGACTGATATGCTATGTAGGAGACAATGAAATAATATAACATGCCCAATCAAAACCACAAAAGGCAGAAAACAAGTAGATAACAAAAGCAGGAACAAAGACAAGGGCCACAACTAGAAGATATGAGCAAATAGAATAAATATTAATCCAACTATCTCAAAATTCATGATGAATGTCAAGGGTCTAAACTTACAAATTAACCCATTTCCTGTTTGCCCCAAGAAATGAGCACTGGCAGCAAGCTGCACTTTTTTTTTCTCAACAGGAAATTAGTTAAAAGATAAAATTGTCAGAGTGGATGAAAAAGCAAGGTACAACTGTATGTTGTTCATCAGAAACCCATTTTAAATGATTGGTTTAAAGTAATGAATGCAATAAAATATATCCTGCCAACACTAATTATAAAATATAAAATTATAAAAATAGCTGCAGTAACAATATTGTCAGAGTAGATTCTGAATCAAGGAAGATTATCCGGGGTAACAAGCAGCTTCCCAGTCCTTGGTGGGAGTGGTTTAGAGGGGAAAGGCCACACCCACTGCCTCATCTGAGCTTGTGCAAGAGGATGCAGGGATGTTTGTTCAGGTTCTTCCCAGCACGGACTGTTGAAGACGGAATACAAAGTCCCTTTTTGGGGAACTCTTTGCTCCAGAAATCAAGAAAGGAAGGCGGCGGCCGGGCGCGGTGGTTCACGCCTGTAATCCTAGCACTTTGGGAGGTGGAGGCGGGTGGATCAAAAGGTAAGGAGATCCAGACCCTCCTGGCTAACACGGTGAAACCCCATCTCCACTGAAAATACAAAAAACTAGCCCGGCGCGGTGGCGGCGCCTGTAGTCCCCGCTACTCGGGAGGCTGAGGCAGGAGAATGGCGGGAACCCGGGAGGCGGAGCTTGCAGTGAGCTGAGATCCGGCCACTGCACTCCAGCCTGGGCGACAGAGCGAGACCCCGTCTAAAAAAAAAAAAAAAAAAGTAAGAAAGAAGAGGAGGCGGCATGACACTGAGTGAAATTCCCTAAGAATAAACAACAACCAAAAAGTAATGCCGGGAGAAGTATTAAGGGCACTGCCCAGTATCACCCAAGATTCACAAGAATATTAGGGATGTGTCAATAACCATGTTTTAATGTTATAAATACACCTATTTCTTCAAGGTTACACTGGGAATATTAGTTAGATCCAAGACATAAGGATTTTAATTCTCATGTCTTCATTAAATAGCCAGATGATTAAAAATGGGCTCTGGGCCGGGCGCGGTGGCTCACGCCTGTCTGTAATCCCAGCACTTTGGGAGGCCGAGGCGGGCGGATCAGGAAGTCAGGAGATCGAGACCATCCTGGCAAACACGGTGAAACCCTATCTCTACTAAAAATACAAAAAATTAGCCAGGGTGTG